AGCTAACATTGAGAAACACTGATCTGAAGGGTAGATCTGCTTGGAGGCAATTTTTCCAAGTTGACCACTTATTTGACCACAACTCCCATCTTTCATGACTCCTGCTGGTTGTGAACAAAGAGAGACATTGCTCAACACATTTCCAGGGCAATAGCTTGGAAAGGCTGATCTAGATAGATTAGATGGACTCCTGCAGCAACATAAAAGACATTTGGTCTTTTTAAAGTGTACCTTTGTACCTAATGAATAGGAGAAATAGGAGAAAAGGGATCATGCTGCAAGAAGCAGAAGCTTGAATCTAATGCTGATCAAAGGGTGGGAATGTAACGCACAAAAGCCAGTGTTTATCCTCTGTACCAAATAAAAGCATTTCAGCAGGAAGCCCATTTCCTTTTCTGAGGATCTCTTTCTCTCTCCAATCAGGTGAATGTCTTCTGTGCACAGCCTTAGCATTTCTGAACATAAAGCACGGGAGCTTTATTGCACCCATCCCAGCTCTTTCTCACAGCTCAGGAAGGATTGACTGCAGTTTTACTTCCAAAATAATTTATATTTAAACACATTCTTTTTTGCAACTATTTCAAAATCGCTTCCTTCCTGTTGCCCATTATGGATATACTAGACGTGATACAGAAAGCTATAAGAGCTTCATGAAATAAATTCACTGGGGCAGTTCCATAGATAGAAAAAAACCCAAAGCCTGTTTCGAATTTTCTCTTTTCCACAGCAGAATGACAGCTTCTCTATGCACGTACAGCCCGTGCAACATGTAAAAGGGTGCGCAGGGCTTCCATGGCATGGCGGTGGGCACCATCTCGATTCTTTTGACCACCCCTGCAAATGCCACCTGAATTTTGGAGGTGACCATTTTGAAAGCCTCCCTCAGACACTGATGGTTCGAAAGATGTTGAATCCTGATAGGGCGGTGGTGATGAGGGTGCCAGGGCACTGTGGATGCCAATGCAGCTCCTTGATATCATTTTCTCCCTGGTGAACGAAGAGCAGCTGGGGTGGGATGGCAGCCAACGCTGGGTCCTCAGCCACTCCTCCTTCGTCACGTTCCACGGCTAAGTCCCACTGAGTCACTTGGTCATCTGCCCCAGAGGCAGCAAATACGCCGCTGTCGGTGGGGTGCCATTCAACCGATGTAATGGGTGCGGTGTGCTGCTTGAAGGTGGCAACAGCTGAACCTTTCTGTGGGAAGAAGAACATGGTAGCACTGAGTAAAAAAAAGGCCAAAGATCACAAGGAAGAATGCGGGGGAAAGGGCGCTCATGCTGTGCTAAGCCACGGTTCGCTGAAGTACAGCTCGTTAAATAACCCAGAGTTACTCTGGGATCACATAGCACACTTAAGCCAAGAATGTGCCTTCCGTCAGCTTGAGGGCCGCACCAGGTTTCGTGGGACACATTGAGAGCCATACTCCGAAAGTGGTGGGGCTGGGGCCCACTCTGGGCGTTTTAAGGAGCAAAATCAGTACAGTGGCAACTGCAAGTCCTAAGTCCTCAAATTCAAGAGGTCAGACTTTGGAGTGCACACGCTTGGTGTGTGTGTGTGTGGGGGTGGGGCAGTTGGAGAATGTAAGCCAGTGCTTCTCAACCTTGGGGGCTTTAAGACTTATGGATTTCAGCTCCCAGAATTCTCCAGCCAGAATTCTGGGAGTTGAAGTCCCCAAGGTTGAGAAAAACCGCTCTAAGCCATACATCATTTTTATAATGGTTCTGTTCTCACACTGTGCTAAGCCAACCAGGTGCCTCAGGGTAAGTCATGAGTATCCCATATACCATCTGACTGCAGAAATCTGTTGGCTCACCTGGAACTGCCTCAGATCCCAAATCCTTAGGATACCATCATCACCACCACTGACAATAAAGGGCTCATTTCGGTTCCAACTGATCACATTGACATCTGCATCATGCGCCTGGCTGGTGGTCAGCATGCAGGCTTTTCCTGGTGCGGCCCGTATGTCCCAGATCCGGATGGAGGCATCAGCAGAGCACGAAGCAAAAACCTAACCCATGGATAAAATAAATGTTTCTCAAAAATGGGGGCTAGGTCCTCTTATGCCTGCAATAGGCTTTCTCTGCTGCATATTCAAAAACATTCATTATGAAGGCCATTGCACAGTGTTTCTCAACCTTGGCAGCTTGAGGATATGTGGACTTCAACTCCCAGAATTCCCCAGCCAGCAGGCTGGCTGGGGAATTCTGGGAGTT